TGAAGAGGTTTAATGAAAGCAAAGAAATACAAATTACATGAGTTTTACTGTCCACAAGAAGTTTTTTAATAAAACAAGTCATTTTGATCATGTATTATTTTATGATTATTAATGATCATGATAACTGATCAATTTGCATTTACCCCCCCCCCCCACACACACACACACACACTTTGAGCAATCCGGCTTTTAATGTGACGCGGTTTCATTTTGAATATTTACTGACGATCATCAAGACGTCAATAGATGTAGCCAACATCTTGTATGTGACAATGAAATCACCCAACACAGCACAGTGGACCAATAAAAGTGTCCCGACTCTATGCGCATACTGAATATTCATCAGCCATTTGCGGATGGAGCACGCATGCGGGCTGCATAAGAAATGTGCAAGTCTGCATGCATAACGTTAAGCGGCTGTGTAGGAGTGAATATAGAGGATATAGGCTAAAGTAAAGCAAAAATAAGTATCTTGACAAAAAGAGTGACTGAGAAAGGTTCTCGAACACCGCTGCGTAACTTGCTGCGTTTTGGGGGTGGGGGCGTCTACCAGTTTTTATGGTAAATAAAAGTTGTTTTTTTTTTTTTTTTTTTTTTTACAAAAGAGCACTCTTCTTGCCACAAGAGGCTACGCACACATTAATTGCCGTCACAGGCAGTTGATGCGTGCCATCAAACAAGAGACATTGCTGTTTGTCTTTCTGCCGCCAATAAACACGTTTAATCAAAAAATTCTGGTACTCAAAAAAATATATATATTGAAAAATTGATCTTAATCTTCTATTTTGGGTTCTTATTTTTAAATACGACTCCAGAGGTACCGCACCAGTCATGAAACTCACTCACAGGAAGGGACAGAGAGGCTGACTTCTCTTATGAGTCAATGTCAACATTTCATCTAAGTGTACCAGATGTTGAATTTTCATTTTGTTTTTTTGGTAAAGAAGAATGCAGAGAAAATGTGTGATGCCTGCAAGAATGGACTAACCTGTTGTTTCCTCGTCTGTGCTCTCAGGAGGTCAGCGGACTCCTGCAGAGACAGAAGCTGGGCCGGAGTGTGGTGGAGAGGAGGCAGCTTTGCGGCCGTGATGTCATCCAGGTGCTTTTTGTCAAGCTCCTTCCGGGCCTGCCTGGAGAGCGGAGACGAGCCTTCCGACAACTGGCCGGGTGATAAGGAGCCAGATGGAGAGTTGCCACCTCGAGATGGTAGCCTGGAAAAGTCACCAAAGGAAAACCAAGGTGATTGAATGACATTAGCAACGGTTGTATTGTTTCAATACTGATTCTTCGGATCTGCTTACTGGTTCGGTTTGAATTTTTGCCTTTCGGGTGTCATGGTGTTCTCTGTCCGTTCCAGGACGGTTACAACATGAGGCTTCTTTGGTGTCTGTTGCCTGAGAAAGTAATTGTCCGTTGCAATGGTTTGAACGGCATCCTTGCCTTGGTCACCAGCGCGAGTGGAGATTGTGACCCGTTCCAAGGCCTCTGCAAGGTCACTTTCTTTTGCTCCAATGGAGTTTGGAGAGGCCACGGGGGCGGCTGTCTCCATGGTTTCAGCAGTGTCTTCTTTCTCCTCCTCCACATGAACGCAGATGGGCGAGGCTTCAGTCTGTTGTGATGCGGTTGCTGCACTTTGACCAGTGAAGGCTCGCCGGTACTTGGACTGAAACTCTGCCCTGGCTGCTGACACCAAACTCTGATTCCGCTCCTCTTCATCACGGCGTTCAATGGCGAGGCGTATTCTTTCTGCAAAGTCCCTTAATCGCTGCCCCTTGTCAGAAAGAGACTCAATTAATCTCCTGCAAACAACAAAAACACAAACTTAATATTCAAAGCAATCATTTAGGATGCACATTGTTCTCTGGATATGGATCATGTTAATCTCCTTTGTTTTTTTCAATTTATTTTTTGTGAATGTATTGTCCCAGTTTGCTGGAATCATTTTGTTGCACAACAGGCTGCCAAGTGTGGCAACACCTGTCTGTTTTTAATTGAGAGGACAACCTGTTTTGTGTTTCTACAAACCAGTGTCACACCCCATTGTGGAACCATAATGTTCTACAGTATTTTCAGTTTAGGGAGATTTTACTGTCTGCATCAGAGTGATGACGTTCGGGGGTTTCAAACGCAGCCTTTTTGGGTGCCATTTGAATGTTCTCCCTGTGCTCGTGTGGGTTTTCTACAAGTATACCGTGTAGCTTCCTCCTACATTCCAAAAACGCATGTTAGGTACACCGAAGACTCTAAATTGTCCATAGGCGTGAATGTGAATAATTTGTCATCTATTCCCTGCCCTTGGCTGACCACCAGTATAGGGGCATGGTTGTTTGAGCAGTGCGTCAAACTGTTTTCATAGTGAGGACAAAGGGGATACCGGTACTGTACATGGAGCTGAGATGGCCATCAAGGATATCGAATAAATACTCCATATCCACGCAACTTTTCATAGTATTCTACTACGCCCAGTCTGACTGCCATCGTGTTCATTGATGTCAAGTGCACTTATTAGGTCTTACTTGTCAGCGAGTATGCTGTTCTGTCGCAGTAGTAGTTCCTGGAGCTGCTCTCTGCTCTGCTTGTTCAAGTCTCCCACCTGTCCCTGGCGCTCGGACATCCTGGCGAGCTAAACAAGCTTAGCCACAGCTGCTCGCAAACAGCGGGAACACGCCGCACACCTCACCGCGACATTCCTCGCGAAGCAAAGAGTCGTCCTTGAACCTGGAGGGGTTCCTAAGCCGTTGCGTGGGGGAGGAAACTAGATAACCCTCATATAAAGAGACAGGTTTATTTGGAATGGTGGGTACAACATTTCAAAGTGGTATTCTTCTTCTTGGGTGGAGGATCAGGGTTGATTCAATACGATTGTAGAGTGTGTTCGAGCGCCCTCTGCAGGTCAGAGGCAATGGACGGAAACCGCTTCCTCTTTCGTATTTTAAATTACCGTCTACAATATCTTTTAAAGACAGGAATGATATGCAGCACTGTCTCACAAACCAAACCTACCTGTAGTATCGCTGACAACATCTGACTGATATAACTGTTGTACTAGTCTGGATTGCAGAGAAGAGGGATGGGCAAATAAAATAAAATAAAATCTTTAGAGTAGGTCACAGTAAAAGAATCAATTTAACTCGAATTACTGTAGTTAAACCAATTAAGAAAATAGGTCAAACATTTTTAAATATGTTAAAATGTGTTTACGTAATATGAAAAATTAATTAGGTTTTGAATTAACCAATTATTTTAAACAATGAACTGGATTTTTAAATGTATACACATTGTAACATTTGTACATGACACATAATTCTGTTTCAGTGTTTACATTATATCGACTGGTCAGCTAATCCGCCTCACAGTGCAGAGGTGCAGGGTTCAATTCTGGCTCTGGCCTTCCTCTATGGAGTTTGCATGTTACCCCCATACCTACGTGCGTTTTCTCCGGGCACGCCGGTTTCCTCCTACATTCACAAAAACATGCATGTAAGGTTATAATGGAACATTCTAAATTGTCCCTAGGTGTGAGCGTGAGCGCAAATAGTTGTTCGTCTATGTGTGCCCTGCGATTGGCTGGCAACCAGTTCAGGGAGTATTCTGCCTACTGCCCGAAGGCAGCTAGGATAGGCTCCAGCACACCCTCGACACTCGTGAGGATATGGACGGATGGATATTGAATAAGTGATCATTACCATCAATTTCATTGTGAACATGTTCAGTTGCATGTACAGTCATATGATTTTTAATATATATTCCCAACTCAAGGCAAATCACATGTAAATAAATATCTTATGCATAATGTAAAAAATAAGAAAACATTGTTTTTAGATACATCCAGAGCCAATATACATTTTTAAGAAAATATACACATAAAAACCTTAATTTTTTTTTACTTTCCCTCTTCAGTACATTTATTGTAAACAAGCAAAACAGATTATTATTTACAAAACATGAGTCATAATATAAGATTATATACACGTACAGTATGCAATTTCATATTATAGTACTTTGTGCAAACATCACCTGAAATTACAGTATATGTTCACAAAGGCGAACAGAGAAATGCGAAAGTAAAAAAAAGGAATAAATCAAAGTAAACACATAAGGCTGTTTTGTCTTATGCTAGCTTTTGATATGAAGCTGGAAGCTATCTTTGCACAAAGACTTGGGTCTCAAATGAAGCTGAACAAAAAATAGTCTATAAATACCTTGAGAGACATTGTAATTACCTGTACAGCATTTTGCGTACAAATATTCTGTAAATAGTGTATTTTGTTAAGTCATACAAAATAATGTAAGGTTTTGGCAGGGAAGGCTACATGTAAAACAATAGATATGGTAATGCGAGAGCTTGGCTGATGAGTTCTTGATTTAAAATTTAAAAAAAAAAAAAAAAAGTGAAAAAAAAAAACCTGATACTGATTTTGATTAATCCCCCCATGCCCATTAAAATAAACTTTGTTGTACTTGGCTAAGATACAGAATTGCTAGCTGTAGCTTCCTGCTTCTAAATGTCCATGTACAGTGAACCCCCTTTATATCGCAGTGCCAGCATTATCGCAGACATTTAAGCGATCTTATTTTATGGGTTTTTACAGTATTCAGGCCAGTCCCCATTTGCCAGGCAGTACTGAGCACTGCTGAAGTAGATGCAGCGCAATTAAGAGAAGAGAAAATACACAAAAGGTCCCCTACGAAGCAGCGAGAAAATATTGTATCCCTGTTAGTTATACTCTATGGTTTGGTTGAACCTTTTGGTATTTGGAATCGACAAACTTCAATTCCCTTTTGTATTATGCGTCATTTTCACAGTAAATGTCAATCCACTACACGTGGTGTGCCGTGTGACCAAACCAGGAATACAGGCTTGTGGACTTCCAGTGCATGCTACCATAATTAGCATAACAACGGGTTAATGCCATGATTGTTTCAACTCAAACTTGATCAAATTTGATTTCCTTTATAGCTAGTGTCTTCAGACAAACCTTAAATATGTAAATAAGTCATTCCTACATATATGATATGGTGTACATAAACTTGAACAAAGCCTAAAAATGAGATATTGTCATCTTTGGTAGCTCTCGGAGACATCTTAGGCAAATTAAAGACAATGAAGACATTTTAAGTGCTGTGTCCCCTGCCATAGGGTTCTGCCATTTACCCACACCAGAAGAAAGTACTTTCACCCGTTTTGCCAAAATCGAAAGTTGGTTGCGCTTATACTAGATTGAGGACTGATAAAAAAAAAAATTTTAAAGCACACTTTACCTCTTATTTAGAGAACTGTGTGAGAGCGTGTGACAACTCAGGAATAAATTAAAAAGCAATTATCCTATTGTATTATCACGAATACTAGTAAGGAATACTTTAATAGTGTGTTTTAATAAGATAAAAAAATATGTTTAAAGTGTGTCACAGAGATTAAATCATTTGAATAATGTTTAGTTTTTTTTTATGGTCTCTATAGGTTAGCCGTGATAAATGGCGGGGTTCACTGTCAAATGTATCCTAAAAATGTTGTATCCTCTCCAATTACTCTACTTTGATATTTGCTGATATTTCCATTAATTTCAAGAATGGCGTGTCAAGGTACGCAATCCCCGATCTTGCTCTGCTGGAGGCGGTCAAACTTTCGTCTTGATTCAATGCCGTCAGAGTGTCGGTTCCCGCGTCCACCTCGTCGATGGGCTGGTTCTCATAACTTTGGGATTCCGACGACATTCGGGTTGAGGAGTACGTGTCAATCTGTGGTGTCGGGTTGGCCTCCAGGTAGCGGCTGTACTCAACGGGAGTGTAGCGAAGTAAACTGGACTCCACCCTGCTGGGAGGAGGGATGTTATGCCTGAACGTCCTTGGTTGAGTAGCCATTGTAAGGAAGAGGGAAGGGCGGCGGATAATAGCCTCGTCTGATGCTTGTGTGGGAGATGATGGGGGTGATGTGGGTGACGACGGCGGTGTGGGTGATGAGGATGCTGTGGGTGATGAAGGCAGTGGGGGCAGGGGAGGTTGTGTGGGTGATAAAGGAGGTTCGGGGGGTAGTGAAGCATATGTGTATGGTAAAGCGGAATCTGGGGGTGGTGGAGGTCGTTTTTGTGGCGGAGGTGGTATGACAAACAAAGCGTGTTCAGATGGGGGGTGTTCTTCTATAGGATGAAGATGAGTGGATTCATGCAGAACAGGAAAGTCAACCTCATGCCGTGGTGCTTCGTCAACTCTGTTTGGACAATCGCACGTTAAGCAAAAGAAGCCGCCACACCCCTTGAACGAAACGCTCCACTCAACGTTGCTCCTTACCTCGAGAGAGTATTGCAGACTAGTCCTATCTTCCCAAAGTCCAAATCCTCCTCTTCACTACTCTGTGTGGACATAAAATACTTGAGCTTGTCTTCTAACTCATTATTCTAGGAAAAGGAAAACAGGAAACAAGACTGTCATATTCATGCAAAGACTGTGGTCACCTCATACCAACGTTCCTTGCTCAAAATTCAGGCTCGCCACCCCTCATCACCAAAAGATAAGCTAACCGCACTAGCACACACACACACACACCCACACCCATCCACACACATGCACATGCACGCACACACACACACACGCATGCACACACACGCACGCACACACACACAGCCTTACCTCACACTCCACAATTGCAATTCGGTCCAGCAGCTCTGAGATGAACATGTCCTTCTCAGCAACTTGAGCTCGTAGTGTTTGCACCTTCACCGTTTCAACACAGATAATCATGCGATTATGAGAGCCACATCACAAGATGCACTGATTAGGTTTGTTGGTGTTGTCCTGACCAGTCCAGTGGATTAATCGTTTGTGCTGTTGTCTCACAGCAAGAAATTGCTGAAATTGAAAGGGTCTTTTCTGGATGAAGTGAGCATACAGTCAGTTTTTTGTGCAATGTCTCCCATCCCATTTTTTTGGTGTGCATGTTTTGCAACATGAGAACCCCAACATTGGATTTTTTTTTACAAATCGGCCATTGTTTTTTTTTTCTTTGTCAACAATGAAAACAATAGTGATGGGGACGCATTTGCAGCGACGCATGTTTCGGCCAAACTAATATAAATAAATAACCCTAACCATATTTCTAAAAGGAATCCTGTATGAAAAAGGCAACCTCAAATGACCTCTCTCACCTCCTCAATCATCCCTTTGACCTTCCTCTGTTGGCAGAAGACCATGTCGTTCAAGTGTCTGATCCTCTCTCGAAGACCTCCGGCTTCACTTTGCAGCTCGTGTGACCTGCCGACCACCGGCAGTCATTGTTACCTCAAACTGGTTTGAGCTTGATGTCGCACTCACCACAACAAAACTCGGAAAGCGGTGTTGACCAAACATTGCCTTTCCTCTTTGAACACTGATCACACATGCAGCTTGTTGTCTTCCCTTTTTGGACATTGGTCGGATACCTTTTCACTACAGCTCCATCTGTTGTATCACAAGTGTCCAACAGGCGAAGACGGCGTTCACATTCCTGCAGTTTCTGGTGGAGTTGGCTCTTTTCCTGATGGATTGGTCACATGATTAACATGCATGTAATACGTTGGTGGTGGTGTTGCTGTAATGGTTACCGTTTCCATGCAGTCTAGCAGGCGCTCGAGTTCACCGATCCGCAGATCCCGCTCAGCAATTTTGGCCTCTGCGATCCTGATATTCATCTCAGCTTCCTCTAGTCGTCTGATGTAGTCGTCCAGTTGTGCCTGGGTAAGCAAGTACATAAAAAAAAAAAAACACAAAAAAAAAAACACGTTTTGCTCTGACATTTGTATGAAATTGCCCAACACATGTTCTTATGAAACATGGTGTCTTTGGCAATGGATGCATCACATTGATCAAAAAGTAAATAGTGCAGACCTGGAGTATTTCAATCTCCTCCCTGTGTTTCTTTTGCTCTTCCAGCAGCTTTTCCTGGTAGTCCCTTTCAAGTGCCATGGAGAGCTCCATTAGGGCCTTACTGTTGGCCTCCCGTGAAGATTCCACCTGGACAGCAAGGGAAAAAAATGACTGCTGTGAGCACCCTGAGGTGATGTGAACTGATTACAATGCTGGATGGTGAAATAAGTGCTTTATACAGCCGCATGATGAACTAAAGGGAAGGAAAAGTGAAAGACACTTAGACAAAGAACTGAAGAGGGCGTTGGTTATAATGTGGAAGTCAATGGAGGGCAAAGACGAACACTGTGATATTTCACTTTCTGCTTCTTCCAGTCAAGCACCATTTCTGGGATGAAAACAATAAAAAAAAATACTGACCATCGTTGGATAAGGGACATGTCCACTACATAATGGGCGAAGATAATTTTCAGCTCTGACTAACACTGTGAGAGGTTATAAGTCTACAAAAACAATAATATCATTATTGTCATGCAGTGCATGGTGTAGAACTGAAGTGAACTCGGAATGTAGCATTTGGCCCCGACAGTATGAAAATAAGATGGTTGGAGATGAGAAAAGCGGTTAGCCTCTCTAGCGTCGGCTATTACAACCGTCGCTAGTCTTCACATTGCTGCCATCAGGACTGGCAGTGAGGAATGAGCACAAAGTGAAGCTCAATCTTTGTCGCCAAAAGGTTATGTCCAATACCGTGCGGGCACACAACTGTGTGCTCACAAGAAACCCAACCATGGCGCAAAAATGGTTGGGGACCAAAAGACAATGATTGATCGACTTCAACTGTACCTATAGCGGACGATGAAAAAAACAAATCTTACATCATTCAACATTAAAAAGTCGATGAAAATGCAATTTACCATTTTTTCGCGAAGTAGTGCGTATACTCCCTGGGGGTTAATGTCATCATACTTTCATCTACATTGCAACGCATGGCAAAATTCAGAAGCTGTCTGCTATGTGTACTTATTTCTCGTCTTTATTTCTGTCATTAGATTGTGCGTGTGTACCTGATGTGGTGGCTGTGAACATTTATTTCGGGAGCCTCCGCATATTCCTGGCTCAGCAGTTGCAAATTCACTGATTTGCATGGATCCGGTGTTATTTGCTGAAAAACTCACATTTGATTGCCGTAAAGGTATTGCTTTGGCACCACCTGGTGGCGTCTTGGACTGAAGTGAGTTAAGGAGCTTCATTTAGACAAAAGTAGTCCTTTGCAACTATCTTGTGGCATCTATAGGCTATTACAGTAGAGTATGAGCCATTTTTTTTCGGCAGGGTGTAAATTACTTGTCGAGCTTCGCTTTTGGTGTCAGAGCTCTGTCCCTATTTACTTTAGGTTCTCAACTCACTGTAATTTGCTGATTGCTTTCCCTCCTTCTACCTATGTCTCAGATACCTGTATCTATAACAGAATGCCGTGTGTCAAGCTGGTCAGGACACATGTAAACAATATGCGTGTGTGCTAAGAGTCTGATTTTTTTCTCACACAATCCCGCACAACTAGTCTGACATCTCTTATTGGACTGTTACGAGGAGAGCGACTTGCCACACCAGCCACAAGTAACAATTGTTGCCATGAATGTGTCAGAGCAGGTACTTCCACAGTGATGTCACACAGTGCGACGAGGCCCAATGCACAAACATCCTACCTGAAGTCTGAGCGTCTGGTTTTCAGCCTGTGCCGCGGCCAGCTCTCTCTCCCTGTCTCGGAGCTGTTCTTGTGCTCGCTCACACGTACTGCGCAAACTATTCATCTCTTCCCTTGAGTCCACTCGATTCTGACAGTTCTCCAGAAGGGATTTCTACCAAGGCAAGACAATTGTCCTAAGCAAAGAGCTATGTCTGTCTTTACAGGCACGAAGACACAGTTTGTTACCTGCAGGCCGATATTGGATGATATAAGGGAGCTGTTCATCTGATCAAATCTCTCCATTGCCGCTGTGCGGATCCTCACCTCTGACTCCAGACTCCTGCGATGGGAGTTGGCAGTCTGTAAAAACACACATCCATTGACATTCGCCAAATTATTTGCAGCTTCACGGATGGCCATGAAGTATAAACAGTAGCAGCGGTGGTAGCAGTATTAGTATTCTTATTACGAAGTAGTATCATTTTAAAATGATATTGAAATACTTCCATCGTGACTGTTTTGGTTTAGATCTTTTCTTAGAGGGGCTGCAGAAAAGTCAAGGATGCAAGAAACAGTGACATATACATACACACACACACACACACACACACACACACACACACACACACACCTGCTTTACGTAATAAAAGCAAATGACGTGGGTTGGGTCAACGGTTAATTGAACCAATGCCAACTAGATTACGCTAACTCCTTGGTTGTAAATTTGCAGGAGAGTGATTTCAAGATTGTGGTTTTAGTCCAAACAACAGACAAACAGCAGACAAGTCAAATAATATTTCATAAAAGATGATATGTGACATTCATCACCAGACTTCAAAAAATAGTACAATACTAAAATTGACTCTGTGTGTCATTCATTTGTACAGGCCTTTTCTTAATTCATTTTTGCACCTAATTTTGAAAAAAATGACAAAAATTGAGTTAGCCCACTCTCTCAGCGGCTCAATATATATGCAGGGCTGTACTTTGGACATCCCTCATATCAAATGACAATCAAGCGATGATCATAATCTTATCTTATCCTACCTTTACTTCCTCTGAGAGCTTCCGCACAGATTGCTGCATGCCCCCAAACTGGCCGTACATGCGCTCTCTGACCTTCTCCAGAGAATCTCTCACCTGCATAAACACACCGTGAAAAAGTGTGCAGATAAGATCTGTTATCTGACAAACAAACATCGAGCATATCACTACGATTGTGTTGTGATGCTTTGCGTCGCTCCTCCGCTCACCTCCTTGATGTACTTCATTTCATCGCGAAGGTGACTGACGGTCCACTCTCGCGGCATCACCTGCTGCTGTCTGTCCGGGCTGTTACTCTGCACTAGGCCGTAGAATTTGGGCCCATGATGCTGCAGCGAGGGCTCGGGCTGCCCATTGGTCATGTCACCCAGGTGCTGAGGGAGACAAGATCGCACCGCTCAGGTTTCCTTCAGCTGGGCCGATCACTGTGTGTGTTTATTTGTGCGCCTGTGTGTGTGTGTGTGTGTGTGTGTGTGTGTGTGTGTGTGTGTGTGTGTGTGTGTGTGCGCGCACACACACACACTGCTGTCTCTTCTGCCTTTTGGGCATCCAGCAGGCCAGATGAACCAAAGCAGACAGCGGCAATGTAAAAAAAAAAAAGCAAATATTGAATGTGTCAGAGGCTCTGTATGGTCTGGTGGTTCATTGTGCTAATCATACTGTATGTCTATATTGCATCACATTGCATATTCCTGAATGGACAAACACGAATAACCTTGTACACATGGATGGATTCATGCACTTTAATATGAGACAAATCTGCCCCAACCGACTATTTCACTAGGCTGATTCCTTATCTTGTTTGCGCTGCACTGTGTATCGCTTCAGTAGTAACAGCTATTCACATTTCACTGCAAGCTTTTTATTTTGTCAGTGATTGCTTATTTACCGTTAAAATGATTGGCGCGTGTTGTGCAGAAGACCCTATATGAACGCTGTCTTTTACTCTGGCTGTGCAAAGTGCTTTATGTGTTGCATAATATACAATACGACTGACATGAGTCATGTTTTTCAAGATGCATGATGTCGTTTACCTGATTATTATTTTTTGGGGGACGGTAGGGGGATTTTACTTGCCAGTAAAAAATAAATAAATAAATAAAAAATTTGAGATGCGACCGCTGTATAGTGGCATAAATCAGATGACAACAATAACACAAACAATTCTCTGGCTTTATCACAGTGAGTGAAACATGAAACATTCATCCATACATTATCTGACCCGCTTTATTCTCACTAAGGTCGCGTGGGGGTGCTGGGAGCCTCTCCCAGCTGTCTTTGGGCAGCAGGCGGGGTACACCCTGAACCGGTTGCCAGCCAATCACAGGGCACACATAGACAAACAACCACAGGCGCTCACACATACACCTCGGGACAATTTGGAGTGTTCCATTAACCTGTCATGCACGTTTTTGGAACGTGGGAGGAAACCGGAGTGCCCGGAGAAAACCCACGCAGACACACAGAAAACATGCAAACTCCACACAGGAATGCCAGAGCCGGAATTGAATGAAATAATATATCAACACTTTATCGACTGCACTTCTGAAGCATTGAACTTTTCAAGAATCTTTATACTGGCAAATGAATACACAAAATCTAGATATATTTAAAAAAATAATAAACTAAAGCCTACCAGGCGATTGAAATTGAGTTTTTTTGTGAGCTAAATTAAAGTTGTATCTCTAAGAGGATGGATGATATGTTAGTTGGATGGGTTCTTCTTAGATAGCGCACCTCGTGTTTTGGCTGGTGAGTGTAGAGTACATGCAGTGCAGTGTCTATTATTCATGTGTCTGCCTACTGTACCGGCTTGGGTGACTCTCTGCCAGCTGGCCTCTCCCTTTGAATGATGCCATTCCTCTTCTTCCAGCCATCCTGCACGAAGACAATTCATATTAGCATTCAGCAGTGCTGGCTGATGATGCTTAAAGTTCTGAACTGATTGAAAACATGTGCCAACGAATATCTATCCAAACCGACAGTCCAGACCTGTTGTCTATCAAAGGAGGAATCAGTCTTCACGTGGGGCGGAGGTAAAGAATGAAGAGGAGCAGAACAAAGACAGCAGTGTTGTCATATGGACACAGGCCAGCCCCTTATTTCTCCAACACTTCACCTGACTCCGAAGAAAAGCTACGCTACCGGCTTTTTCGTGAAACCTCTCAACAACACAACACTAAATGCCAACTCTGACTGTTACAATGCATTTAAATACACACTGCTTGACGGTGTTTACATAGGTTTTATTTCACCGAAACCAAAACCGTGTGAGTTTGTCGGAAAGCGAGTACAGTCCACCATGTTCCTCTTTGTTTTGTTGCCAGAAAGAGAATATACGATTAGGGACATCTGGACAAGCTTATCTGAATCACAATTGCTTCCAAAAAAAAAAAAAAAAAAAAAAAAAAAAACATCTGCTTTTACACAGATAAGAAAAATACACCCAAAAAATATTGGGTAGGTGTACCTAATATTGTGGCCATTAGTGAGAGCACGCTGACAAGTACAAACAACGTAAATACAGGTCTTTGAATTAATTACATGCCAGAGTGATAGTAAATCACTTTACTGTGTCGTTGAGTGCTCTGCTCACAAAAGTTCCTCTGTATCGCGTGACTTTGTCATGAAGGACATAAGACACAAAGAGCCTTCATTCAACCGCCAGTCAGGGCCACTTGGGGGGAAAAAGACGGACTTTTGTGGTAAAAAATTGCAATGCAGTCGACTGAAGGCGACTTCTAACGATACGAGTGTGTCACATGTTGGCCATCGTCGCAGCTTGTTAGGCATTCATTTTTGGTCCAGGTTGCCGCGTGTGGATTACTGTAAATGAAGAAGCGCCCCCCTCCCCCACCAAACATCTCATAAGAAAATGATTCATCATGTTTTCTTTGATTCAAGGCAATTATTAATGTCTTAATTCACATGCGTAAATATATTTTGGAAATCAAAATGCTTTATCTATCGTGATCGTTCGAGCGCCCCCCCCCACCCCCTTATCACGCAATGGACTACTGTATTCCATTCTGACTTTGCATGTGCACTTGATTTTACATAAATAAAAGAAGTTAACAAGAATCAGGTCCCACTGGAATAGATGCATTACGACAAACTACTTTTGAGAACGTCAAACATGTTTCATTTTAGTTTGACGGTCATTTCACTGCATGACGTGGTCAGGCTTGTCATGTTGCGTGAATGTAGTGGACCCGAAAAAGCAGGGAGGCAGGAGCGTACCAGGGGTACGCTGGGAAAAACTACATGAAAAACACAAAATCCTGAATAACCCCAATAAATCAAAGCTACAAACAAATAAAAACCCGTGACTGTAAAACCAAACAACGTGACAGCAACACAACCATCCGACCAAGACTGACAGAAACCACGGGACTAAATACAAGCAAAGTGATGAGACAACAAGGAACATCTGAACAAGACCCAACGGGTTGAGGGAACTGATTGGTTAACACAAGGAACAGGATCATAAGAACAGGTGGAGACAATGATTTTTTTTTTTTAAAGGACACAAGGAAACAAACTTAAATGTAATCTAAACAAAAAAAAACAGAATCGATCAATCAATACTCGACCAAATGAAGCGTCTTTGACCGTAGTGTCCGATTTTAAGTTTGACCCCATGTAGAGGACACGAGGAAGTCAGTTAATAACCACGTGAACTTTGCTTGTGCCTTGAATCAGCTCAGCATTGTTGTTTATCTGGATTGCAGCAGAATATCAGCCACACTGCTTCAGCACTGCGCAGGAAATCCTGCTGCGTGCGGCAAGGGATTCATTGTACGAACGATAAGGGAGTTCGTCACCGAAATTGAAAACTAAAGCAAGGGTCTTTGCTCCAGATCAGTCATCGGTGGTACGTACCGGGGGTATGCCAAAAGATCACAGTTGGGTTCCGTTGAACTTTTAAGTCCAACACATTTGCATTTCATTTTATATGATTTTATTTAGATTCAGTTTTGATTTAACTTTTATGTATGTCAAATACATTTGAACCCTTTCATGTACCCTGTAAGCTGATAAATATGATAAGCTGTCCAAGGGTTAAATGAATCATTATTCAAGTAGGTTTTTTTTTTCCTAGCTTTGATTCCAGCTAAGGTTGACCTTTTAACACATAGGAAGGTCGGTGTTAGCGTCTTCTCTGTCTTCCTTGTGAGTGCTTTTATTTTGCTGACTGTTTGTCCCATTCCACCAACAGCTGAAAGTGCATCAGCAAAATGTCACTTTTTACTTAGTCCATTCGAGTTGAGTTTCAAAGGTGAGCTCATGGAGGGCGAGCGATGGTGTCATGGGGACTAACATAAAATCCTGTCGCTTTTCCACCTCAAGTTCCAAACAAAGCCATCGAAGCGCATGTTATGAAAGCGACAAAGCAGATGTTGTGACATCACAATGGTCGTGCGTATGCAACCAGCTGGAGACGATTCAAACAGTGGGAGGAACTAACAGAGTACAAATTATTTCTGTACTTACAAAGCAGGTTGATTTTTCAGGTATTTGTATATTTCTATTTTGCGGACATCGTAATTTTAATGCCTACATTTGAACAGAGATATCAGTCATTTTCATTCCGTCGACAAATGGTCTTGTTACTTTTTTTTCAATATAAAACTGCAATAAAAAAGCTGCATGTGTGCAATGTGGAGAATTTGAGCTTTTTTTTCTTCAGCTTGAGACCAGCAGGGTTGCAACCAGGAATTTGGCGGCCGCAAAAAAAAAAAAACAAAAAAAAAGGGGAGGAGGTATTACTTTGGGGCCCGGTATTTATTAACATTTTGTTTTGGGGGTATGAATATCCTGCATGAAAATTGATTCATTTTAAATGATAAATTGAACATTATCAATGTAATAATTTTACACAAACGCACACACACAACAATGCACACACACACACACACACACACACACACACACACTTGGAATGCGGCCGTGTTCAGGATTAACCAATCACATCTGATTAAATTCATCTGATTACACCAAAATAAAGTTCAGATGTTCTAGTAGACCTTTCCTGACATCTATTTTCGAGATTTTTTTGAAACTTAAATACGACAGGAAGCCAGCTCCTCCCTATTGCATTTCTATGAGTCGCAAAATCTAGTTCAACGTCCAAAATGAGTCTCCTGGTACTTTTCGAGTACACTGTATCCGTGCGCCATGATCACGTCTCCACCTAATGAGCCATGAAACCACATAAAAACACCTGATGTCTGACTAAGGTGTCGCAAGGTATTCATGTGCGCCCGTGTCATAATAGGGCGCACTGAACACTTCATCACAGGCGGCAAACGAGTTCCTCGCCTGTCACTGTTCTAACAACATCTCGTCCCTTCCAACCCTCGTGACCACACCCTCTGGAAGGGAAGCACACTCGCATATTACAGCATTGCCTTATCAGTGTGTGCGTGTGTGTGTGGGTGGCTGCACAAGGCATAATCCTACCGGGTCAAAGTTCTCACAAAATAGAGCCACGTCTACGTCAGGGTCCTGAAGAGACACGCAACACAAGTCCGCCACAACAATATTACGAGTCACCTCGTCATGCTGTATCCAAACAAAAGCGGCCGGGGCGGCGTCACCCACTGCAATCACCCACAGAGCCGTGCACAGGTAGTGCCTGAAGCATGTACACATAGTCAGCACTCGCATTTACTTGAAGGCAGAACCACTGATCACTTTCGCACTCAATGCAACAGCTGGGAAGAGAACAGGCAGCCGGCGTGCCTGCAGAGGTCAAATAAAATGTGCACATTTTGGAAAAGGTGCTTAAAAATGTCAATTGAACCCACATATGTTTGCCATTCTGCATTCAACTTTTCGCAAATGTTTGTCAGGGAACCTATTCTCCGTTCTTCATTTTCAGTGATTTTGGGCTCAGGCCAAATCAATAAAAGCAATACTTTGGTTCTGTCGTATAGCATCTTGGTGCCAAGGAACTATGTTGAAGTGGGTTGTGGAGTTTGATTTTGAGAAAAGTAGTGCTTTGCAGGAGTGCTGTGTGAAAAGGCCTTGAGCGTTTCAAGTCTGTGTGTGGGTTTTGACCTGGCTCATTCCGGCGTCTTTCCAACTGTTTCCTTCCATCCTTTGTCCTTCCCTTCCCTACTTCCTTCCCTCCATTCTTAATAGATTCCTTCCTTCTGTCCTTCCTTCAATTCTTCCAATCCTTCCTTCCTTCCTTTCACCAGTCATCATTTTTTATAGTATCCTTATTTCCTTCTTTCTTTACTTGCTTTTTTACCATCCTGCTTTCCTTCCATCGATCCTCCCTCCCTCCAGCCCTTCCTTCCTTCCTTCCTTCAGCCCTCCTTTGCTTCCTTCCAACATCCTTACTTTCATACCACCCTTGTGTATTTCCTACCTTCTGTCCTACCTTGAATTCTTTTACCCTTCCTTCCTTCCCCTCACATTCAGACAATCCTGTTTGTTTCCTTTCTGACAACTTCTTCCACCCATCCTTTCTTTCATGCATCTTTGATACCTTTTTTCCTTCCTTTCATAGCATTCTTTCCTTCCTTGCGTCCTACCTTCCTTCCTTCCTTTTCTCCTTTCATGTTTTCAAACCACCCTTGTTTCTGTCCTTCCTTCCTTCCTCTTTACCATCCTTCTTTCTCATCTGCCTTCCATCCTGCATCCATCCTTCCTTTCATAGGTCCGTGTTTCCTTTCTTCCTTTCCTCTGTCCTACATTCCATCCTTCCTTATGTTCTTCCGATATTTCCACCTTTCTTTCCTCTCTCTCTCCCTCTCCCTCTCTTAGTACCATCCTTAATTGTTAACTTCCTCAAGTCCTTTTTCATCATTTTTGTATTCTTCCTCTCTTTCCTTCATTCCTCAAATAAAAACACATCTTACAAATGTATCATTTTTGCTCACGCTGTACAACACATGAGTTGTACAACAGAGCTTCAGTTGTCCTCTGGTTGAATGTGAAACACATGTAGGCACTGTTGCATACGCCCTTCAGTCTTGATTACGTAACAACACAGACCAGACATCTCGAGGAACTTTATGATGAAGTCTTTTCAGTCAAGGCAGCATGCATCATGGATAAATGTGGAATTTCAGCGATGTACAAAAAAAAAAAAAAAAAAAAAACTGACTTACCGTTTCTGGATTCGCAGCTTTGTGCTCCTTGTTGGCATTTCCTGGATGGAGAGTCAACCTGAGACGCCTGACTGACCTCTAAAGAGCACAAAAACGAAAAAAAAAAAAAAATGCACTGAATGTTCACATTTCAGGAAATGAAGACTCCAGCATTGTCCCAATATTTTTGTCAAGTGATATACTCTATTTGTTTTTACATTCTTATATGACCAGCGGTTAATTGATTTTCACACATTTATGACAAATAGCACTGTTATTTAAACATTTGCCTAGATGGTAAGTAAAGGTTTTATAATACAATACAAATTATTTGAATTTCCATTATTTACTGTATAGTACCATCAATAGAATGGACAATAAAAAACATGGGAGCTTTTTGGCATTTCTAAACCCATATATATTGTTGATAAATAATGTATTTAATTAATTTAAGTAGCGACACGATTAACATTATTTGTATTTTTAAAACCACACACATATACATATATCAATATCCATATCCATCCATCCATTTAACTGTTTGCGTCTTGTAAGCCAGCTGTTGGAGCCTTCATGCTATGGAAATGTGGGGGCGGACACAGTGACAAAAAAGAATGGCTCCATCCATCCATCCAGGGCCTGCTGGAGCCTATCCCAGCTGTCTTTGGGCAGCAGGCGGGGTCCACCCTGAACTGGTTGCCAGCCAATCGCAGGGCACACAGAGACGAACAACCATCCGCGCTCACACTCACACCTAGGTACAATTTAGACTCTAAATTTTAAGAGTGTTCAATCAGCCTGCCATGCATGTTTTTGGAATGTGGGAGGAAATCGGAGTTCCCGGAGAAAACCCACACAGGCCCGGGGAGAACATGCAAACTCCACACAGGAAGGCCAGAGCTGGAATCGAACCCTAAACCTCTGCAATGTGAGACCGACGCGTTAACCAGTCGATCACCAGGCTGCATAATAATCATAAGAAGAAGAAGAAGAAGAATGAAGACAAAAATATCGATCGTTTAAAAAAAGACATTTGTAAAATACGTGCAGATTTTCATTTAACATAAACAGAATTTTGTATTTAATAACTATGGGCAGATATATAATGAATATATATTACTGTAGAGGTTTTAAATATCATACTTTATGATTCTTTTTTTTTTTACTTTATCACTTCACTTTGGTGTCATGTCAAAACGTATATATCGTGCAAGAAGAACAACAACAACAAATTACATTTGCCTCAAGTACTTTTCTTAAAAGTCAAACACACAATACTTAATCTTTTGTTATTTTCTCCTTGACTTGAGTTCTGGTGCCTGCAGGTTGAGGTTTTTGTTGTCGCTGTTGCCCAAATTCCAGAAACAAGCTGAGAGGGCATTAGTCTCCAAAGACCAGTTATGCCAATGCATTGTTTCACTAATGACAAGTGGTCAGCCTGCAGCACATTGGCCTCGCCTTTCACACTCTTCTTGTACACATCCTGTTTCACGCAGACATTGTCCAAATGCATCGAGAAAAGATAGGAGGGAGGGGTGAAGACACACCAGGGCTTGCAAAATAAAGAGTGGACAGAGGACAAGAAGACCCAAGACGCCTAGGAGACAGAGAGGATGTGCTCTCACTGTGGGACTTCTTACCTCGCTTCCGGACTCTAGCGAGTCGGCAGTGGTGGTGGTGGTGGTGGTGCTGGAAAACCTTCGTCCCGGCCCGTAGTGAAGCATGTCTCCGCTTGTGTCCACTCCACGGTCCCACAGTGTGTACCCCACCCCCCTCCTCCCCCTTCTCCTCCTCTTCAGTAGACCCTCCTCCCACTCTTCCTCCTACTGCTCCTTCCTGAGTTGCGCTCCAACTCTCAGAGGCACCGTAGGGAAATTCCTCTCTCGTCCAGTGAGGTGAGGGTCGTTGTGTCTCGTCTCTGAGCACAGATCCCTCTCAGCAGCACAGAGAGGTCATTGTCCGATTCCCGCCTGTTGCGTCCCGCAATTCACCTGACTGACAAGCTGCTCGGTCCCTCGGCAACTCGGCTCTCTCTCTTTCTATCTGAGCGCCCATCCGACCTGTTGGGCCAGATTTCACCTCCCCGCCTCTTCTGTGACAGAACAGGCCTCGCAGAGGGCGGGGAGGGTGGTCCGGACCGGATCCTCCCACTCGGCTCGGGCCAGGTGGAGTTCCTAGGTGACAGCTCCTCACGGCTCAAGTCACCGGGAAGAATCTTGACACGATCTTGACACAATGAAATGTAACTAGAACTTTCAACTCCATGACGACATAGGCTGAGAAACAATGTCGCTAAAAGGAAGAAATGAAATGAAGGCTGTAATACTGGTTTATATACTGCATCATATTCCAAACTACTCCAACCGGTCAAGCGTTACGTGTTTATTAAGGTATGTATGTAGGTAAATATATAAAGTACGGATAAGATAATGTGGTGCCTTCAAATCGACTCCACAGAGTTTTTCGAGAGACGGGCCATCGTTCGCCGTTATTTGTTTTTTGCTCCCATGGGACAATCTGGCCAGCGTTACTCAAGCAGTGCTGCATAGTAAATGTTTGGAAGCCAATAGCCACCACTTTCAGCATCCCTTGAAATTGTACAGGCCAAAGGTAACTTGTATTAATCTCACGATGTCTGAAGGAATTTGGTACTCAAATATTTTTTTGAAGTTTTCCTTTCATCAATGTTTTTATACATTTCAGGGTTGGGAGAGCTACTTTCAAAAAGTAATTTCCAATAGAGTGAGTAGTTTCCTACTAAAAAATACCATAGTACCAGGTACCATAATATTAAAGGAATGTAACTTACTTTTAATTACTATTGGATTACTCCAATACCAACTATGCCGATGAGGATCAATCTATGAATAAATAAATAACTAAAAATAACACTAAAATATACATTTGTATACATTGTAGACGTTATTTGATAAAGACCGGGTCGGCCTGCAAATAGTAAAAATCTGTGAATAATTGATGGCCATTGGGATGCATATTTGTTTCAGTAGTAAAACTGTTGGTTTGTGATGGGATGATAACACGTGACTTACGTTAGCGGTGCAGCAGCTACCAGCCATATTTCAGCCATACGAAGCAGTCCTCGCGACAGCTCACCTTTTCTTTATCAAAGTTATTTCAGATAAACGGGTCCTTCAGTATGTTCTAAACTGAATACGCGGTCACCACTTCCTGCTTTCTCACCTGCTGCCTGTTTTCAAATTGGCCGCGTCACTGAAAGTTGGCCCGCCTCCCATTTGCTCCGAACTGAGTCAGGCGGCTCATATGAGTTCGACGAACTGTGACAATTTATCCACTTGTTTCGCTCAGGGCTCAGATAATTAACCTGGAAAATGGCGTATCTCTAATGCGTGGGGGTTGTAATTCTGCGAAATAATCCAATTTTTTCATAAATATATCTTTAATCCGATTACATATGTTTTTTTCTGTAACTGTAACCTTTTGCTTAGTCTCGGGTCAACGTGATAATACGATACCAGAAAGCGAAAGCAACAAGGTTCACTTTCAGGAAAAAAATATTTTCAATTAATATAAAATGCATCTTAGAAGTGCAGAGGTTATATACCCTACATGAATGTAAACACATTTTCCTGTTCGAGTATAATACAAGCAGGACTGTCCAAAATGACAGTGAAGCAGCTGTTACAGGGAATGAATCATTGATGATGGTGGCATTATTTTTTAATGTCCCCAGTGTGTGTGCCTGCGTGCGCGCGCATGTGTGTGTTTGAGTGTGTGTGTGCGTGTAATGTCAAGCAGACAATCGTGGTCACAAGCGGCTCACATTCCAAGCCTTCCGACACTCCCTGCACAAAAAAAGTGGAGGAAGTAATAGTTAAAACCCCTAAAGCAATAAAAACTAATAATACCGTGGTATCCCGGCACGGTTAACTTAGTTAATGAGTAACCGCACATCAAACAAGCTTGTGCAATGGTCAACAAGTGGACGGTCAATGTCACGTGGACGCCTGTCATAGGAACGTACATACGCAGTACACAGTACTGTAATACTACAGAATGTAAACACGTACATATGCAGACATTTTCATTTATGCTTTATGTTCTGTTCCTTCTGTTTGCTTTTCTTTTACTATTTGCATGGAGTTTGAGTGCCCCGAAGGGGACCTACATGAGTTATACGAAGTAGTGGTTGAAAATAAGAAAATATACTTTTTTTACTTTATTCACATTAGAATAGTACGTTGAAAATGACTTTGGCAAGACTACTTCGCAATAAGAAAAATTGCAAGATGCTGACTAGAATTTGTGTGTGTGTGTGGGGGGGGGGGTATGTTTTTCAAAAGAGTTCAAATATGACTTCAACTATACTACTAAGCACGACAGTCAACTGGATAGCACGTCGGCCTCACAGTGCAGAGGTTGTGGGTTCGATCCCGGCTCCAGCCTCCCTGTGTGGAGTTTGAATGTTCTCCATGTGCCTGTGTGGGTTTTCTCTGGGTACTCCGGCTTCTTCGCACATTCCAAAAACATGCATGGCAGGTTCATGGAACACTCATGCAGCAGAGTCATGATAAATGAAAACAAAAAAGTAACCAATGTGGTATAATTATTTAAGATGGCTGCCTTTACAGCAGCTCCTACCCCTGTTTAAGTTTCTTTTCATTCTTTTATTTTATTTATCTCTTCTTCCTACATTGTTTTGTGTGTTTTGGGGAATTTCTCCATTGTGAGACAAAAAAAGGTTATCTGTATGTTTAGCAGTGTGACAACTTGTGGAGAGAAGCTATTTTGAGGCCCATAGATGTACAAGAATGGATGGATTCAAAGTTAACATCTCACAACAAGCACATAATATGGCTGCAAAATTTTGAGCGATAGTTTGTAGGGATACGAACCAGTACTTGGATGGTTTTCTGCTTTGACTTGAAGGATCTGCACAGTCAGTCATGATATGCAAACGGTTTAAATTTGTATTTTGTATTTCATTGCTATTGCTGTTATTACACAGTACAATACTGCCAAGTACAATTTTTCTTCTCAAAAACACTCATTTAAATGTTTTTCTCTGTGACCCAACATTGACGGCTCATAATGACCTTAACCCTCCGCGATGATACCAGTAAGAGGCGTGTAGTGTTCTATTTTTTTAAAAGGTGACGTTGCTACGTGCCTGCCACACAAACAAATAATAGGTGTAGGCAATTAAAAGAGTGACACGCCTTCCTCATACGGTTTCAGAAAGCAAAAAGTAATACAAGCTGCCAATCAGGTACATTTTTAACTCCATAACAAATACACTTGCGGTAATTCTTTCAGGGTGTGAAGGAAAGGTGTTCAAAATCAGAGACTTCTGAAGGGCTTCTTGTTTTCTTTGTACTTTTGGATGTGTGTAAAGTTAAGCATTATTGGTTTTTTTTTTTTTTTTTTGTCAAGTCAGAATGGATGGCGCTGCTCTAATACAAAATGAAAAGGAAATCATGTGATTAAAGAAGCACGCAGTACGTGCGGTCTGGATTTCATCAGCGCTTCAGGGGGAGTTGCTCACTGTGCAGCTTTCACATTTGGATTCACATGCTCCATATCTTGAGAAGACATAGAGGCAGTGATGGATGTTTACTTAAAAAAAAAAAAAAAAAAATCAACAATCATACATAGAGGACTTGAGTTGACTGTGTTCCGACTTCAAACTAAACACGTGACATAAGCCTCGGGTGTTGAATTAGTCTGCATAGCAGGATCAACCTGCTTTCACACTTCATGCGTTCACAATCACTACTGCGGAACTTCTGGAACGTCCACGTCTCAAGGAGTGAGGTCACAAGGTCACATGCACATTTTGCTTTTTACAGGCTAAAGATGGTTTGTGTACGTAATGAACAGGTCCCTGTGGAGCTCTACAAAGAATCACTGGCATACAGTAATTGTTCAAAATGTGCATAATGTTACAGTCGCCTTTTTTTTTTAATCCAATACAGTACACTGGTTAAGCACAGTTCAGCTGCATTTCACTTTGAAGTACATACCTGTCAACTTTTCGGAGCGCCAACCTGTATAAATTACCAAAAAAATCCTTATAAAGAGCAAAAAATCCTTACAACATACCAAAGCATTTTATATGTCAAAATAACGGCAGAAAAAAACCCACGAAATATGAATGATATATTTGTTTCCTTGTAGAACTTGCTTGTACACTACCAAAGTGTGCAATGAATACTCTGCTGTTTTCAACTAAGAACCACGTGATTTACTGGAAAGTTACCAGAAATGAAAGCATTCGAGTAGACTAGCACCATTCTGGGCAAAAGCAAACGGAACTACCTGTTAGGGGGGGAAAAAAAAAAAAAAACGGAAATTTTCAGAATCCGTATGATTTGTCGATTATGGCCATATACGTAAGATTCACCACAAAATCCGTATGAACTATGGCTAAACCGTATGAGTTGACAGGTATGGAAGTACAACAAAGTTGCTTTGATTATTTTTTTTTAAACAGTTTGTTTGCAAACGTTTATTTTGGTGTAGTTTTTTTAAGTCATGTGCAGGATATTATCTGCCTTATTTTTGATAACATTAATTGTTGGCCTCAGTGAACCTAACATGCACAATTTAATAATCATGCACAGTTTATTTTCTTCATTTATATATTTTCGCGAGCATTAGTGCCTATTACCAAACATTTCACTTGATCTTTTGTTTTGCTTTGTTGTTTTTTCAAACTTGGTGTATCCATAAAAGTGAAGTAATATTTGTATCACTCTCAACTAAAAACCCAAGTAGTTATTTATTTAGCTATGAATGAATACAATTTCTTCTTCTTCAACAATAATAATAAAAGAAGTCCTACATATGGTGATGATGATGATTATTATTGTTAAAAGGCTTTTATGATGCGTGAAACTGCTATTCACACAAGGAGGCAATGTGCCTCCTGGCCACAAGAGAGCAGCATAGCGCTGCTAGTACTGAATGATGTCTGCCTAATTCCAAGAGTACCTGCACGACCTGTATTTCACTGCAAGGATAGCAAATAACTGCTCAATATACTTGTTGTGTAAGCCATTTGATGTTTTGTCTGATTTCCTTGATATCCTTGTATGTTCTTTTCAGTCACTAGTCAAGACAATTTAGTGCATTTGGGCACACTAGCAGAATGGCTCGTGATAACCAACGAAAGGCTATAGCCTACTAATAGGATACAAGTGGTACTTGTAATAAGTTTCTAGTAGCGTGTCCTAGTCATTCCGCTAGTGCACT